TTGACTGTTTTCAATGACTCCTTTGATATTGCGTCGTGATTGCATGTTGTGTCATCAATATGCCTCTCAAACAAGCCAACGGATCTGTCACCGCAACAGAGAAATTGAAATCCCATGCTCACAGCACATTTCAAACACAATTCCCCCGAACACGACAAGCGATGGAGTAAAAAGGAAGTGACGCAAATGAGCAAAGGATTGTCAAAGGAATAAACCCTATTTAAAGATATATACAGACGGTAGCCCAGTGCATTAAGTTTACGCTTAATTCGGAGCCCTTAGACGGTAGCCCAGTCGGTGAACTTTACGCTAAATAAAGACTTAGTAGACAGAAGTCTAGTCTATTAAGAGACAACCGAAGGCGCTTCAAGAAGGGCAAACAAGAATACCTGTACCCTTGTTTGTTCATACAATACTAGCGTCTCTTTCTCTTCGCTATTGATCGATCCCCGATTTGGGAGATCAACCAGTTTGGCTATGCTGAAGTGTCAACTCAAATTGGATAAATTGGCCCCGCATTGATCTCGAGGTTACTCGAGAAGGGTTCATGCTGTTTGGGCAATCATCACATTCATCATGTGTTACAGTAGTGGTCATGATATGCTAATACGGTTATATAGCACGGCATTCTTATCTCCGATGGAAGTATCTCCATCTCTACACATCTAGCGTGAATTAGATGGGTTGCGGTCCTTTGATACGGCCTCTGCGTTATCGATGGAAAGAGACGGGCTCAGTCTTTATTTCGACTGGATAAATCCACGGTATTGTCAGAAGGATTTATCGTGATTTGGTGTTTGAAAAAAAATCGGTTGAAATTTAAAGAGATTTTTACCTTTAGAATGTGTCTGTTTTTATAATTTTCCGCAACCAAAGAAATGAACAAGAGATCCAAAGATCACAAGTGGCGTGTAAACCAACCTGTAAGAGAAATCGGTTACCTCCAAGGTGTTTATTACTGGTATAGAGTCCTTAATCAACCTGTCAGTGGATGTGATGGGAATTAAATGTTATTTGTGGTATTGTTTTAAAAGTCATCTACGCGATAGATATATAAATATTTATGCGTCCTTTGCGATACACGCACTTTACGTCTTCTTGCCGATACAAGTAATTTACGTAAGATATGCAATGCACGTACTTAAGGTCTCCTACGGAGAACACATACTCTAGGTCTCTTGCATTACGTGTGAAATTGTGGTCTGCTATGCGACACACGTACTGTACGTTGTACACGTACTTACGACCTCCACGTAATACACTACCTTAGGTCTCCTACGCTATACATGTACATAAGGTCTCCTACGCTCTACGGGGCGGTGGGGTAGCCTAATGGTTAAAGCGTTGGCTCGTCACGCTAAAGACCCGGGTTCGATTCCCCACATGGGTACAATATGTGAAGCCCATTTCTGGTGTCCCCCGCCGTGTTATTGCTGGAATATTGCTAAAAGCGGCGTAAAACCATACTCACTCACTCCTCCGCTCTACATATGCATACGATTTCCTACGCTATACATGTACAGAAGGTCTCCTATGCTATACATGCACATAAGGTCTCTTATGCTATATATGTACATAGGTGAGGTGAGGTGAAATTGGGTTTAACGTCGTGCTTGAGAATATTTCGCTCATATGACGACATGCATGCGTGTGTATGTGTATGTGCGTCTGCTTGTACTAGCCCAGACTTAAGCTGGTTTTATAGTGCTAGCCCACTGAGACACCATGCCGCAGTGAAGCATGAATACCCCACTCAGACACATTATACTGACTCCGAGCCGACCAGTACTTGTTGTACCCATTAATGCCGAGCGCCAGGCAGGGACCAACAAGTACCATATTTTAACGTCTTTTGGTATGGGCTCTCCGGGCGGACGCTCTAACCACTACACCACGGAGGCGGTCATATATATGTACATATGGGCGGTGGGGTAGCCTAATGGTGAAAGCGTTGGCTCGTCACGCCAAAGACCCGGGTTCGAATCCCCACATGTGTACAATGTGTGAAGCCCATTTCTGGTGTCCCCCGCCGTGATGTTGCTGGAATATTGCTAAAAGCGGCGTAAAACCAAACTCAATCAGTCAGTCAGCCAGTCAGTCAGTATATATGTACATAATGTTTCCTACACAGTAAGCGTTGTGTATTTCTCAGACGATATACGCCTACTTCACGTCTACGCAATAATCCTCTTCGCGCGTAGTTATTTGTTAGGTCGACACATACTTTAAGCCATGGTATCGGGCTTGCTTTGAAATTCCTTTCAACTGATTGAAAGTGGAAGATACGCATCATCAAACTTCCATTTCATTTAAAAGTTTAAAATGCATTTGAATTTAGACTGTGTTTCATTCTACTGTGACGCCAAGTCTGTCGCTTTAGAAAACAGTCCTGTCATTTCACACAACGGCTGACTACAACGTGCCCAGTCGTCTGGCACCACATACATTTTAAATGATTGCGTGCGTCGACTACACAGACTGACGTCGTAGTCCCCCACGTTGCAATCTATACAGCGTTACACAGACAACTTGAGTTGATCTTCGCCAGACCTTCATTGATCCCTGAGCTGCGTAAGTCGGCTCTTCTGACGACGAACATAAGTGAAATGATTTCAAATGGCTAGAATAATATCCGGCTTGTTCATCAAAGTCGTGATTAAACAGTCTCAACAGTCCAATCCCGGCGTCCAAAAAGACCCTTGATTTATTTTTTAAGCTAGTGAAGCCCTCGTGTGCTTGCTATTTGATTTGAAGTAGATATGTAGATATTTGAAGGGATATCTGGCCCTGTATGTACGTTGACTATGCAACATATATAAGAATAACTTTATGTGAAGGTATTAAACAGAGCAATAAAACAAAGACGGTCTGATAAGCCCTTTGAACAACGGTGAAGAACTTGCCCCATATTGCTTAGCAATCTCAGACAGCTAATATTAGCAACTGTCTGAGTGCCTAATCGAGACGCGTTTCAATCACCTTGTACTTGTTCTGACTTCATATGGTAACTCACTCACTCTACGACAGTTTTGTAATATGAGGGGCGGTGGGGTAGCGTAGTGGTTATTGCGTTGGCTCGTCACGCCGAAGACCCGGGTTCGATTCCCCATATGGGTACAATGTGTGAAGCCCATTTCTGGTGTCCCCCGCCGTGATAGTGATGGAATATTGCTAAAAGCGGCGTAAAACTAAACTCAGTCAGTCAGTCTGTAATAAGATACATACGGCACCGTGGGCATCTACTATAGGGGTGGTGAGTGTGTGTGCGTGCGTGCGTGCGTGTGTGTGTTTGGGGTGGGTTGGTCAGGGGGAGTGAGGCGAATATCATCCCAAAACGTGAGGCTTACAAAGATAATACACGTATTCAGAGTGGGTCATGTTAAAATTAAAAGTTAAAAATGTACTTTTGTCGTCTACTCAGAGAAGCTCACAATAATCATACAGAAACATGTACAGGTTCTTGCACAATATGACAAGCATTAGAAGAGGGTGGGAGGCATCGGTGCCTCAAGAACCTATGACAGCCCCAGACACCCGGCCCGACGCCCGCCTCCGACACCACCCTTGACACACCCGCCCCGACACCCGCCCCCGACGCTCGCCCCGACGACACCACCCTCACCCGCCCCCCGACGCCCCCGACACCAGCCCCGACGCCCCGCCCTCCGACTCCCCCCGACACCCCCGACGCCCGCCCACGACGCTCGCCGCCGACACCCACCCTCGACACCAGCCCCGACAATCCCCCCCGACGCCCGCCCCGACGCTCGCCCCCGACACTCGCCCCCCGCCCCGATACCCGCCCCCGTATTAAAATACCGACACTAATCCACCACGAGCCTTTTGCTTTTATGTGCTTGTTTAGACTATTCCGCGTTTACAGATGGATTGTATCTGAAAGGAATCGTAGCGTGGCCTTGTGGTTAAAGCATTCGCTCGTCACGCGGAAGATCCGGGTTCGATTCTCCACATGGGTGCAATGTGTGAAGCCCATTTCTGGATTTCCTCGTCGGGATATTGCTGGAATATTGCTGAGGACGGCAAGAAACTAACTGACCAACTTTGGACGCATTACTCTGAAAACAAATCATTCGGGTGTGCAACATGATGTGTGACATTGTGCGTGATGTATTTTTGTCAAGAAGTACTTAGATTAGATTTTCAGCATATATAACTGATAGTTTTCAGTTTCATGGAGCTAACCTGAACAGTTTATGTAGACAAGTCGTTTAACTTCGTTACTCAATATGAATGGGTAATCTAATGTGCACGTGAAACAATGACATCATGGGCCATGATCAGCGACGCGTTTACGATTTCTGTTGCGTGTAATTAGAAATTTATTAATTTAGCTTTGAGTCGTACAACGCTATATTATAGGTGAGAGAGAACACGACTTTTATCCGATCTGGGTATGAAAACAATATCTCGACTATCGCGAAAAACGCAGTTAGCCAAATTGCCACACCGTATCTTTCAACCGCTAGACTGTGGGGCGCGGTGGGCGAGCTGGCTAAGACGCCAGGCTAGTGATCCAGCGAGGTTGAGGTGCCGGGATCGAGCCCACCTGTGACCGGGTGTAAAACCTTGGAGTCAACTTTCTGTGCAGACTCTTTCAACCCACGAATCCGTTGGTATATGACCAGATGGTGGCCACATGAATACGTGCAAACACCTAGTTGCGGAACTTGGACTTGGACAAAGTACTGTGACTATGTGTCCCAGTCCACCCAGCTGTGAATGGGTACCCTCGTTAGGATGAGAAAGCCACAATAACTCGGTGCGCCTAGTGGCTGCAAGAGTTGTATACTCCCCAGGAGTTGAGATTGATAATACGATGTGCCGTTGAGATTGACATCCAATGATCGAGGGGAAAATACCAGCGCCTTGAGCATGCACTAGTTGCCTGGATATGTGCGCTATATAAATATCCTATAATAAATAATAATAGACTAACGCTTACTCTCTCTGAATATAGAATTTTGATAGTAACAAATAATCCCATTTAATTTGAAAAGGAGCCTCGGTGAGATGGGAGATTCAGAACCTGAGGATATGTAGACTTGCTTCATCTATAGCTTCAGCATTGCAGGCAGGGCAAAGCAGTAGGGAAAATAATGTGGTTCAGGGACTGTGTGACAGACTAGGAGGGCTGGGCAATAGGGAAAATAATGTGGTTCAGGGACTGTGAGACAGAATAGGAGGAGACAGACTAGGAGGGCTAGGCAGTAGGAAAATAATGTGGTTCAGGGACTGTGTGACAGACTAGGAGGGCTAGGCAGTAGGGATAATAATGTGGTTCAGGGACTGTGTGACAGACTAGGAGGGCTAGGCAGTAGGGAAAATAATGTGGTTCAGGGACTGTGTGACAGACTAGGAGGGCTAGGCAGTAGGGGAAATAATGTGGTTAAGGGACTGTCAGACAGTCTATTCAACCGTGTATGCTGGGGTACACTCAGTATGGCAACGTTCTCTACGGATAGCGTATATTGTCCCCACACATCAGCAGTTTGGCAGATGAAGACATGTATCGAATAAAGTAACATATAGCTTTCACCTACGTAGATTACATTTAACGTCAGTGTGTCCAAAATATATCTGTAAGTAGCCAAATTATTCTTAAATCCAAAAAGAGATTGATGACGAGCCTTGGGTTCGGTTTACCCCACAGTCGTCAAAACGCCAATATTTGACCTCACAATGGTCTCAATTGGCTTCCCATTGATCTCAGCTTCCATCCGTAGCTCGTCTGAGGTTACGGAAGCATATTTAGTCCGCAAGATTGGCCTCCGTGTCTAGGGTATCTTCTCTCGTCCATCACGGGGGCTTGAAAAGCTCGTATGCTTCAAGTGATGTATCTATGGTGTAGCTTACTGCAGAGGCTAATACGAGAGCGGCAATGACCTCGGATTCATCGTTTAGTGTATGTCCTGGTAGTCTGTCTCGTAGTCTCTGAACCACATATTTCCTTACTGCCTAGCCCTCCCTGCAATGTTAAAGCCCTAAATGAAGCAAGTCAGCTCACTGCGGCTCCTTTTCAATTTAAATTGGTTTAATTTTCCCTATCAAAATTATAGATATTCAAGGACTAAGCTTTTGTCTAATGTCCTGGTGAAAGGGTTCCCTGCTACCTGAGGGACCAATGATACAAAGGGACGAGTTTTTGGATGTTGAGTATCAGCTGTGATATTCCAGAGGTGTGTGTTTGGTAAATTACTGCGAATAATGTACAGTCCGCCCTGGTTATAACGTCAAACTGTTTATGACTTTCCAGAACCGATGTAACGCATTGAAATTCCTTTTATTTAAAGGAGAATACGGGTGAATTGCAATAATTTGCTCGGTGAAAGATAAAGTCTTCAGAAACATATTCCCAAATTTTCAATAAAAAATTATGTATAATTATGTTTTATATCAAAAGTTTTGCTTTCGTTCGGATTCTCCTTTAACGCCAAACTGGTTATAACGCTACCGTCATCCATTTTTTCATAACAAACGTTGCATCTGGTTATAATGCCATTTTTTTATAAAGGACAACTTGGCAAATCCGCTACTTTGATCAGGTGAATAAATTAGTGTATGTACAGACATTGTTCATAGTTATTCCAGTGGACATTCTCACTGACAACGTTATTTTTTTTCATTGGCAATGCTCAAAAGAACCGATACTGTATAAATTAACATACGTTTTCATTTTTGGTTATTATATTATAGGGTATTGATGGCTATGACAGATAAGAACTCGTCTTGACGAAAGGCGTTATAACGGAGGTAGTCTGTACTTGATATTGACCCGGTGCAGAGCATTGAGTCAGAGTTGTATGTAGAGTTCTGAAGCCGATGGGGTGTTACATAGCTGGGTTTACAGTACTGTTACACCTATGACAACAACACGACGCCGGACAGAAGTAATCAACACTGGAGGGGCAACCGCCGGTCAATAGTGGGAGAAACCATAGCAGAATGATACAATTATCGACTCCACATGGCGTTTCAACTTCACTGTCATAGGCTTTTACGTTAAGCAGGTAATAACGGGAGCCCTCCCTACCTGCTCTTCAAGGGAGGTTGTCTTGGAGGTGATTATCTCTGATAAGGATTGCTTCTCTCAGTCTGAAGTCTTACGGTCCATCATTGCGACACGGTCCGTCATTGCGACACACGGTCTGTCATTGCGACACGGTCCATCATTGCGACACGGTCCATCACGGACAATGATTGCGACACGGTCCATGTTTGTGACGTGGTCTATCATTGCGACACGGTCTATCATTGCGACACGGTCTATTATTGTGACACGGTCCATGATTGTGACACGGTCTATCATTGTGACACGGTCCATCATTTTGACACGGTCCATCATTTTGACACGGTCTATCATTGTGACACGGTCCATCATTGCGGCACGGTCCACCACGACAATGATTGCGCCACGATCCATGTTTGCGACACGGTCTCTCATTGTGACACGGTCTATCATTGCGGCACGGTCCACCACTGACAATGATTGCGCCACGGTCCATCATTGCGACACGGTCCATCATTTTGACACGGTCTATCATTGCGACACGGTCTATCGGTCCATGTTTGTGACACGTCCATGTTTGACACGGTCTATCATTGCGGCACGGTCCATGTTTGCGACACGGACAATGATTGCGCCACGGTCCATGTTTGCGACACGGTCCACCATTGTGACACGGTCCATGTTTGCGACACGGTCCACCATTGTGACACGGTCCATGTTTGCGACACCACGGTCCATGTTTGCGACACGGTCCATCCACGGACAATTTGCGACACGGTCCATCATTGCGACACGGTCTATCATTTGTGACACTCGGTCCATCATTGTGACACAGTCTATCATTGCGCTGCACGGTCCATCACGTCCATGTTTGCGGTCCACCACGGTCCATGTTTGCGACACGGTCCATCATTGCGGATCCACCATTACGACACGGTCCATCATTGCGACACGGTCTACCATTAACGACACGGTCCACCATTACGCCCACGTTTACGTTGTAAAGCATTTCTTACCGAAAGTACGTAATCGTAAGCTTCAAGAAAAAAACACGTGAAAAATATCCCTAGAAAGTGAATTATGAACTGAAACCTGATACTCTATTACACCCCTAACACGAGCAGATCCAATAGATTACATACCGTAGAAGCGAGAACAGTGTAAGCCATGGTTTAATCATCAACTTTCACATGGAACCGTTATTTACAACCACTGAAAACACCTGTTAAGATTATCGATAGGAAATTTAAGCAGGACGTTCCCTTATTGAGAAAGGAGATTGCCCTGAATGGGTGAAATATTGCTGAACTGGGACAAAGAATATTTACGTTACCATTTCTTAAGAAACAACAGGCCGCGGAATCGCCTTTGTATCCGTAACAACACCCCTGTCAATGCGTGATGTATTGCCAGAACGAAATCTGATCAACTTAAATGTGCAAAATGATAAATTCAATACCTTTTTAGGTCGTAATGAATTTGGATTCCATAATACAATTCTCATATCATTAATACTGATGGCAATTATATTATCTCTGCACGATCCATCTATTTCCATCTGTAATTAATTCCGTATTTGAACTGAAATTGACATTGCCGTTCCGTTGTCGTTGGTGAAATTGACGAGTTATTCAGCCTGTGTACAACACACGATGGAGATAAGAGATTATAGCTAGAGTGAAATGAATTCCACTTTGCACTGAACGTGTAATTAGTGGTATTGTAATCGTATCAGCTGAATCAGCGTTGCTGTGAGCGAACCAACCCTTGTGATTCCTGCAACGCTGTGACCAATTACCATTCCGGACATTCCAGTGCTTCCATCGACATTACAAACGGATCTGGAGAATAAAAACTGAACACTTCTCTTGATCACAGCTTGAAAAACATTTTTGAAGTTTCCTGCTTTTTAAACCGCACTGTTCTTAGAATTCGAAATATACTTACGCTTGGTCACCCACGAGACGGTGTAATTGTCACGCGATAAGAAATTATATGCATTATGCAATTACTCTGAGTTTTGAAATTCACGAGTAATAATTACTCGTGTAATAGTTATTCGTGTTGATCACACCCTGTGATAAGTGTTTTGTGAAACGCAAATCTGTATTAATTATAGGAGTTTGTTATAGCACCGTGGTGATTGATACTGTGAACTGAGAGCTCCATTATGAATGTCACGCACTTATGCAATTTGTCAGCACAGATTTCGAGATCGTATTGGGAGTGAATACATTCATTCCTGATAGGATCTGCATAGAAGAGACTTGTTCTCTCAGCTTTTATGTCTTTTGAAGGAATCGAGAAGTATTGGTTTAACTTATAGTCTATTTGCAGTGAAAACGTACCGATTAATTTAAACAAAAAGTAAATCGAACAAAGTGAAATTAAGATTGCGAATCCTCATAATTTTACCTTGCCATTTGAAAATTTAAATTTCAGAATTTTGTTCAACTTAGGATAAAAGCTGTTTAACAAACGATCAAGGTTCAAATCGGTATTATTGGTTTGTATTACAAGGGGGTATGCACAGTAAATGAAACACCGAGCACAAGGCGGGTTGGTCTAAGTTGACGCTCATCACGTACCGCACGCGCATTTGTTTCACTGTTCCAACTGCTGCGCTTACCCCCTTGTAATACAAACCAATATAAGCGATTTGAAACTATGATCGTTTGTTAAACAACTTTTTTCTAAGTGGAATAAAAATCTAAGATTTGAATGTTCAATTGACAAGGTAGAATTATGAGGATTCGCAATTTTAATTTCACTTTATTCGATTTACATTTTTGTTTAAAGTGCAATTCACCGGTACGTTTTCACTGCAAACAGACTATAGATGCTGTGTATTTGACGTGCTGAAGCCAGTGGCAGTGTATAGAAGCTTGTTTGTTGTTTCACCCAAGACTTAACTAGGGTCTATCCGGTTAGGTCCCATACTGCCTACAGTTCCAAACTGCCTACGTTGTTTAAACTTCTGTAGGCAGAGTGGGAAAACACCATAGAATTAACCAGCTAACTTAGTCAAGTTCATTTTAGCAGGGGTAAAACAGGTCAGATCTGTGTATTCACTTCCTGATCTCTGGACCGTATCTTGTTGTTTTAACCTGTAGGCTTTTTTGGAACTGTAGGCAGTGGGTATACACCGTCTATCCATGGTCTACCGATATGAGGGCGGGGCGGTGGGGTAGCCTAGTGGTTAAAGCGTTGGCTTGTCACGCCGAAGACTGGTGTTCGGTTCCCCACATGGGTACAATGTGAAGCCCATTTCTGGTGTCCCCGCCGTAATATTGCTGGAATATTGCTAAAAGCGGCTTAAAACTAAACTCACTCACTCACTCCCTACTATATGTGCATCAATTTGGTAGATATATGGGTTTAAAGATGGTTGTTTGTCAGATTTGTTTTGTAGCCGCACATTGGTTGATGCTCAGACCTTCACTCACCCATATAACGACTGTGTGTAAATAATCGAGTCGGACGCAGACGGCCAAGTGGTTGATGTCATGAGCACCGCTCAGTATCATTGGGATACGATGACATGCAATCAATCAAGTCAAGCACGCACGCACGCACGCACACATCTATATTCTATATCTATATTCTACCAGATTCCCCACAAGACTGAAGGGAACATGTGACTAATATATGAATGTCCTGTGAACGGTTTTCGGCCTATTAAGGAAGAATAATATCCCCGAAACCTAAACTGTGATAAAGATAAAGAAAGAGGAAGTGAAAAATTGAACTATCGCAAATTATAAGGAATTATCTTTTACTTCCTTCTCGGGTATATGCTTGATTGGTTGGTTTGTTTGTTGTTTAACGCCACACTCAGCAATATTACAGCTATATGGCGGAAATCTGTAAATAATCGGGCCTGGACCAGATAAACCGCTGATCAGCAACATGAACATCTATCTACGCAATTGGGATACGATGACATGTGTCAACCAAGTCAGCAAGCCTGACCACCCGATCCCGTTAGTCGCCTTTTTACGACAAGCATGGGTTGCTGAAGACCAGTTCTAACCCGGATCTTCACGGGTACCTGGAATATGAAACAATCCATATGAAACTATGAAACGCCAATGCCAGAATAATCTCCATTGTTTGTGAGAACGGATTCCACGCTGGACAGCATAATGTCGAAAACAGATATGACTGAATGGACAATCATGTTATACCACTATATTAACAATAGAGACCTATTTACAGTATTTCTTGTGGCTCTAGTAAGAGTTTTTGTCGCTTTTATTTGCAGCGCAAAATATGATATGTTACTTTAAACGAACTGAGTACAAAACGATGTTAAGTACATTCTTGATATACTTCGCCCACGTTGCAGTGGCGTTAATGTCAGTTCTCATGGCAACATCGCCAACAACGAACACTAATCACAGAATAACTCATTATCACCGACCCAAGACCTTATTATCCATCAACGCAACAGCGTTACTTTATCGTGGTGTAACCGTCCGACTAGACTAACGCTTAGTCTCTGAATATATACGACCCGTGAAGATCCGGGGTAGAATAGGTCTTCAGCAACCCATGTGCTTGCCATAAAAAGCGACTATCTTGTCGTAAGAGGCGACTAACGGGATCGGGTGGTCAGTTTCGCTGACTTGGTTGACACATGTCATCGGTTCCCAATTGCGCAGATCGATGCTCATGCTGTTGATCACTGGATTGTCTGGTCCAGACTCGATTATTTACAGACCGCCGTCATATAGCTGGAATATTGCTGAGTGCGGCGTAAAACTAAACTCACTCACTCACTCTGAATATATACTCTTCAAAACAAGTAGGGGAATTTATAATTTGCAATTGAAAAAAATGGGAGATATATCGGAGTCAATCAATGTTGATATGATAATAATGAACGTTTTGAGAGTGCATCACCACTTACACTTCCTTACGACCATACACATGTAGTTGTTTGTACAGATGATTGGTGTATGACGTGCAATTTTCCTATGTACGATTTTCGTTTTTTACACAAAAAATAAAACCCGGCCAAAAACAAACACTACGAACTGCGTGATGCAAGATTGTCAAAATTATTGGTCTGTCGACCTTCTTGAAAACCATCAAAATCACGAATACCACCCACACCCACACCACCATGCACATGTTTGGGGCGACTGCGTTGTGCACGTGCATCCCATGCGTTATGTTAAGGGATTGTGATAAAGAGAAATGGTGGTACCTTCATAGGATGTCTGTCGTTGAAAAGTTTGTTAGCGTGTAATACTTCCAGTCCACATTGAAAGTTCAGGTTTCCCTGCTTTTTATAGAGTATATATAATTTTGATAGAAACATACAATTCATGTTAAATTAAAAAGGAGTCCAGTCAGATGGGAGATTCAGCACCTGGGGAAATATAGAAAATAATTCAGGGACTGCGAGACAAACTAGACCCACAGTTTGTTACAAAGGAAAAAAACCCTGTCCCAGCTCCAGCCTGTTTCCAAAACCACAGCGAATAGATTTTTAAAGGATCCCCAGTGAGAAGGGAGGGAAACCTAGACTTGCTTCTTTTAGGTCCTTGCAGAAAGGGCAAAGGAGAAAGGTAACTATTACGGTTCAGGGACTGCGAGACAGACCAACATGTCCGCCATCTTGGAATCTGTGGTCCGCCCCGGTCACGTCCGGCTATTCTGGCTGGATTCTCCCGGCGTTTCACGAATGTCACTTGTGTTTGTCCAGCGTGTTTACTCTCGATAAAGGTGGGAAACATGAAAGCGGGACTTGTTTGAGGAAGTGATGGGTTATTACTACGTATGGACAATATTGACAATTTTAATAATTGGAAATCGAAAACAAGACTGGTATGTTTCCTTACGGCAATTTATACACACAGTTTGTGAATACCATACTGTCTCAGTCTTTCATTTAAACCAGTCAAACGTTGCAAGTGCGTTTCTTTGAAGGGCTGTGTTAGCTAGTGGCCATTGTGCTTTGGACAATCTTCATTTTGTATTGAAATTGTTGTTTGTCGTGTTCATAAACTAGGCATGTAACCCTGGCGCATTAGCAAAGGTTCGTGAAGAATCTGGGTTAGAATTGGTCCTTGGCAATCGATGCTGTCACAGGAAGCGACCGAACAAACGGCGAGAGAGTGAGGTGTGTTTTACGCCGCCTTTAGCAATATTCCAGGATACGATGACACGAAATCAACCGATCGGGGTGGTTGGGTAGCCCAGTGGTTAAAGTCGTCACGTTGAAGACCCGGGTTCCATTCCCCACATGGGTACAATGTGTGAATCCCATTTCTGGTGTTCCACGCCGTGATATTGCTGGAATATTGCTAAATTTGGTGGATAAATGGTTTAAAGATGGTCTTTAGATGGCAAATGTATTTCTAGCTGCACATTGCTCATACCATCCATCACCAGTTTGTGTGATTCAGATCTGATAACACTGAACAGGCGGCCGTATGTCTGGATAGATGGCTCAAACGTCATGTCGCACACTTACTTGGTCAAACGCGCCAGACCAGTACCGACGATGTCGTAAACCATGATGTGGAAGGACAATCTTGTATTGATAGCTGTAATAAAAAGTTACATTAATGATTTCCGAGAAACAGTAACGGCCTTTACTTTCAGACGTAACCCATAAAGATTCGATAACTAATTTTAGATAAGGATTTCTGTGATTGACTCAACGTCATATGACTTCATTGCTCGGATAGCCTCTTTGATTGGGGGTGTCTCGATGGTGTAGTGGATAGAGCGTTTGTTCGGTGATTGGGTCCTCTTGCAGCCGTACGTTAGAGGGTGGTTCATGTTGTTACCATGCCTTGGCCTTTAAGTGGTTTAAGGTGCCATAATTCGCTATATGGAGTTGCGGCCCTTACCGGTGGTAGGAATACTAAGCATCCGCTGGTCGAATTTCGGATTCGCAACCAAAATGATCTATCTTTAAAGAGCAACATTTGTCTTATCTGAATGGTTTTTCTTATTCCGTATAAACTCACTCACTCACTCACTACAATCGGTGAACAGCAGTGTATTTCCTTGCTCCAGCACCGATGTCTGAAGTATTTATGGACGTTCAAAGTATATCCTGCCTTGTCTCCCACACCTGGAAACGGTTTAACGTAATATTTCTCTTTCAAAATAACATAATTTGCCTCAAAGATTGAAAAATATGCCAAATCCTCAAACATGATAGTTTACTAGGAACTCGATCTTTGAAGTTAATCCGTTAAGTTCACTGTGTGTTAAGGGCTTAAGTGTGTTGCCAGTTCTGATGCAAGGTATGAGGTGTGTGGTATGTGGTAGCGATTACAGGAAATAGAAAGTGGCGTCAATACCCTACCACTTTTGTACACATACAAACGATGGCGTCTTGAGATAACACTGAACACTTACACCTACGTCTTATTTCTCATTCTGGGGTGTCCTCGCTCCATTAAGGCAAGGGGAGGGGGGGGGGTGTGTGTGTGTGTTTGTTGTTGTCCGGGGGGAGGTGTTGGGTCGGGGTGTGTGTGTTTGTTTGTTAAAAGATTTTGTTGGTTTTCGGTATGCGCGCAATGTTGTTGTTGTTGTATGAATTCGGGATGAAGATGAGCAGGAGGATGAATTCGAAGGATGAGGGTGAAGGATGAAGGATGAGGATGAAGCGCATCATGTAGTAGTTGTCGTCACCATTGTTTTCTTAGTAGTTACATTGGGAACACCATTTTAGTGAATCAAAATAGGGGCGGTGGGGTAGCCTCGTGGTTAAAGCGCCCGCCGATGACCCGTGTTCGATTCCCCACATGGGCACAATGTGTTAAGCCCATTTCTGGTGTCCCCCGCCGTGATATTGCTGGAATATTGCTAAAAGCGGCGTAAAACTAAACTCAGTCAGTCAGTCAGTATACTCCTGTCTGGAGTATATTGTTGAGTTTTAAGCCGTTATAATCTATTTAAGCTCCATCTGACCTTAGGTTGTTTACAGTTTCAACAATATGATTAAATTGTTAATCCAATATTTTTTAAGGTGTGTCTCGTCTCAGCGTCTTTTCTTAGACGCGCCGTGACGTCAAGATTCCGGAAACGTCTTATACGTTCGTGTATGTATCATCTCTTTTGACACATGTGGGTCGAATATGTCGTCAACAGAATGAAACTTCAAATATGTATCAATCCATATTGGTTGGGTGGTACTTGCGTGCCAAGAAAGAGATGGATTGTCTTAGCTCCAGGCCATTTCTGGTGTTCCCCGCCGTGGTGTTGCTGGAATATTGCTAAAAGCGGCGTAAAACCAAACTCAGTCAGTCAGTCAGACTTAGCTCCAGGCACCATCCGTCGTCAATGCAACTGTAGCTTCGGCACGAGTGTAATAGATATCAATATATCACACCGGATTGTAATTAATATCACATCGATTTCAGTATGAATATACACTTTGGCTTCGATGAATATCACAAACAACAAGTCAATAAATATTTATTGTCGTCTGACGGTGAATTCCCCCGGGAGTTTGACTCGTTACTGCATGTTTGATCCCCGTTACTTTTGTAATACCACAGCGATGGGAGTTATCGGCTCTCGTTATGATTGATTGCGAGACTCTCAATAAAACCAACAGATCAGAACAAGTCTTCTCGTGTTGATCCATTTCATATCATTAGTTCTCAGGGTAATATCACTCGTTGCTAGGATGCTCCGTTTAACAGGTGATATTGTCCACATGACTACAATTAGTTTAACAAAGAACGAGAGTTTGGAGTGAGACTCCATTAGCAGGTTTTTGCTCAGTTAGGGAGAATTGAGCAATAATGAACGAAGCCGTTGACAGATAAGAGAAAGTATTACTTAGAGACGCCGATATTCCCATGGTTTATTGCACGCAGCAGCGTACCTTACACCTCTAAACCTGACAAGCGATGAGATTTGAGGGAGCAGTTTTTAAGCTAAAACGCATTTTACCGGCATTTGCATATTTAATTGGGTTTATTCTGGCAATAAACGTCATTTGGTTAGCGTACGTTAGGGTTAATTTATAACTTTGTATTGATGCAAACTTTTAACGTCTAGTTTCAGAAAGATTCTGATCAAGGAATAAATAATGACAAAACGTTATGTTGGTTTTTAGCACAAAGAAATTAGATCTTCAGTCTGAACTCGGATTTAGCCGATGCTGTTTTCCGCACGAGGCGTTAGAAGCGAAATCTACATTTACGACATTGATTGGTTCGACAGATTTCAGGTTGATATCGGCGTGTATATTTAACTGTGTACGTCATGATGAGTGAGTGAGTATAATTTACGCCGCTGTTTGAATATAACAGCTGCATCACAGGATCTATTCTCTGCGGGATGAGCGAATTATTACATTCGTTCCTTAAGACGTGTATGTCCCAACAGTTTGAGGCCCCATGACCGTGCCAGGGTCCGCTCTTCGTGAGTTCGAATCTCAGGTTGTTATTCCACTTGTTATTCTTGGTGCGTTGGCACCAATGATAGTTGGATTGAGCAAACTGCTTAATATCTATCTGCATTGTTTCGGCCCTCTGAACAAATCTGGCCACCATCGTTCTCTGGTGGAAAAAGACGTACGGTACCTGTTGTTACTCTGCCTGCGCTCGGCACCAAGAGATTAAAACAGTAGGATCATGAATATCTAGAATGAGTCACTGAGTTTGGTTTCACGCCACTTTAGGCAATATTCCAACAACATCACGGCGGGGGACACCAGAAATGGGCTTCACACATTGTACCCATGTGGGGAATCGAACCCGGGTCTTCGACGTTACGAGCGAACGCTGTAACCACTTGGCTACTCCACCGCCCCGAATGTTTAGAAGGATTGTTATTGTAGTGAAGACTAAACACACAATTTCATGATAATATCACCCAAAATATTCAGGATGCCTAACTTGTTTTTCAATATTTTCAGAGAATAATCTGTAATCAGCTTCCTGACTTACGCGCATAAGCCAATGGCTGCAAAGAAAGTAAACATTTCTCAAGTAATATGCATTAATGACTCCCTTGCAGTAATGATGTAAACCGATATCCCCCTGGGTAACGTTGAAAACAATGCTCAGCCACTAACGACTTGCCTACTTGGTACCTGAAACTCCCATTGGGCTACAGGTTACCGTACTATTTCTACATTTAGATCATGGACGGGTAATAAATATTTAATACCCTTTAGTGTTACATCAAAAGCAAAAAGGTGCTGCTATGTAGGCACTGTCTTAAGGGTATCTAATCCTTCTTATCGTGTCTCTACTAGTGGATATATTGCTCTTTTAAAGCTTTTTACAACCTTCGTTTGTTTTACCATCTTTTTGGAGTTTTTAGAGAAGTAGTGTAGTTTTTCTGGGTCTTGTTTTAATAACCCTCTCGTATTGTTACGTTTTATTCACGTTGACGTCAACGTTTGGGAGAGATTGGACCTGGTAGATTTAGCGTTTTCGCGTTGACGTCAATGTTTGGGAGCGATTGGACCTGGTAGATTTAACGTTTTCACGTTGAGGACAACGTTTGGGAGAGATTGGACCTGGTAGAGTTAGCGTTTTCACGTTGACGTCAACGTTTGGGAGAGATTGGACCTGGTACATGTAATGTTTTCACGTTGACGTCAATTTATGGGAGAGATTGGACCTGGTACATTTAGTGTTTTCACGTTGAAGCAAACGTTTGGGAGAGATTGGACCTGGTAGATTTAGCGTTTTCATGCTGACGTCAACGTTTGGGAGAGATTGGACCTGGTAGATTTAGCGTTTTCATGCTGACGTCAACGTTTGGGAGAGATTGGACCTGGTAAATATAGCGTTTTCGCGTTGACGTCAATGTTTGGGAGAGATTGGACCTGGTAGATTTAGCGTTTTCACGTTGACGTCAATGTTTGGGAGAGATTGGACCTGGTAGATTTAGCGTTTTCATGCTGACGTCAACGTTTGGGAGAGATTGGACCTGGTAGATTTAGCGTTTTCGCGTTGACGTCAATGTTTGGGAGAGATTGGACCTGGTAGATTTAGCGTTTTCATGCTGACGTCAACGTTTGAGAGATTCAACCTGGTAGAGTTAGCGTTTTCGCGTTGACGTCAATGTTTGGGAGATTGGACCTGGTAGATTTAGCGTTTTCACGTTGACGTCAATGTTTGGGAGAGATTGGACCTGGTAGATTTAGCGTTTTCACGCTGACGTCAACGTTTGGGAGAGATTGGACCTGGTAGATTTAGCGTTTTCGCGTTTTCAATGTTTGACGTCAACGTTTGGGAGCGATTGGACCTGGTAATGTTTAGCGATTTTTCGCGTTGACGTCAATGTTTGGGAGAGATTGACCTGGTATTTTAGCGTTTTCACGTTGACGTTGCTGGAATGTTTGGGAGAGATTGGACCTGGTAGATTTAGCGTTTTCACGTTGACGTCAACGTTTGGGAGAGATTGGACCTGGTAGATTTAGCGTTTTCGCGTTGACGTCAATGTTTGGGAGAGATTGGACCTGGTAGATATAGCGTTTTCACATTGAGGCCAACGTATGGGAGAAATTGGATCTGGTAGATTTAGTGTTTTCACGTTGAGGCCAACGTTTGGGAGAGATTGGACCTGGTAGATTTAGTCTTTACTATGTCGTCGTCTTGTATCAATTTATGGTGCAAATATTGCTCTCTGCGTTAATTATTTGCTAAGTCACTCAGTCAACCCCCTGTTTTCATCTGGTGAGTTATCATCCCACTGCATCCTGATTGATTCGGTTCTTTCAATCAGTGGCTCACCGACTTGGTCGACACGTGTCGTCGCATCTTAATTGCGTAGATTGATGCTCATGATGTCGGTCACTGTAGTGTCTGGTCCATAATCGTGTCTGTACAGACCGCCGTCGTTTCTCTGGAATACTCCTGAGCGTGAAAAAAACCCAACCATTTGAATGCTCCTTTAGACACTCTTATCCACTGTACCTATCCACTGTACCATTTTAACCCTGAAACATTCTTTCACATATCTAAACAGTCTGGCAGTCACTCAAACATTTAACACTTCCTACACACAAACTCACACACATTTATGCCAGTAAGTCAACCACTCAAACAGCCTCTCACACAAGTTTAAAGTATGCCAGTTACTCAACCATTATTTATACACTCTATTGAAATGCACAGCCATTGAAATACACTTTTAACCACTCTGTCAACAAACAATACCATGTTTTCCCCGTTGTTTTGTAAACGTCAATAATGTTTGTTGCTTTTTAGAGGAACTACGTCACGTACTTCTCGTTATGAATAAGTCGGGAATAAGAACTCCAGGTCTTTAAATCAGTTGCATGTATAGCACTACTTTTCACGACGTTTGTAGTTGAAATAGTATTATTATTCCTTAGGGTAATAGCTTTAATTCATCATCAACAAGCACAACTTAGCATTTGACCTTTCTAACTGGCAAATATCAAATAACTCCGCCGTTGGGCCGACAATTAACAGAATCATTTACCTAAAGAAAGCTTAATGAGTACTGGGTAGGGTTTCGACAGCTGTGGATTCGGATCGTGACACGACCAGGAATTTTGAAGTTGTTTTGTGACGAGTCTTGTGAACGTGATGACAGTCTGATTGAACGGCTTCCCGTGTCCGCGACAGAACAGTCGAGTGTGCGCTGATTGGTTGCACCCTCTGTCCGGTGATTGGAGTAGATTGACCGTTGTGGACAACGTGATTTGGATGAGTTGATGGATGTCGCCAGAAGGGTTTTCCCATGCTTCATGATATCTGGACATTGTGCGTCTTTATGGCAGGGGTTTCTTTCTTTTGTACCGCCGGTGCATTGCTGGTCGAACGATGGTCCTCCAAAACAGTTACCTCCCCTACCTCACATCCATAATTTATGTTCTTCGTCGGAAGTTATCTCCCCTGGGTGAAATGATGATTCTAAAAACAGCATACACACCCACCCACAACTTACACCCAACACCCCACTGCCTTAATGAACCTTTATATCTAATGCCTTATTTTATACCAATAATAATGCTTAGAGAGTTATCTCCCTTGGCACCTCAAGGTGAATGTCACATCACGTTCAAAACAATTGCACAAATGCAGCGAGTGATATGCATATGAATATGCATGAGGTGGTGTGTTCGTGTGACGTCTTCTAATAGTCAGGAATCATAGCTGAATGCAGCCAGCTCACTCGCTTCTCCACCCGATGGAATCTCCCTGTGCAGACACAAGCTCATTCGTCTCTGCGACGCTTCTGAAAACTACCTCAGAATCAAACATATCTAATTTTTGAATTCCTCATGAATATGTCCAAAAATATAACCCTATAGCACCTTTGACATTTCCGACATTCAAAACGCGAAACAGTGCGTCAAACAAAAGGTCACGCGGCTATATTTAGACGTAGTGCAAAAGGGGAGGCAACCCTGCATGTGTTAAAATCTTCTAATTCCGCACCGGCTGGAGTTGTTTACCCAATACTGCGGAAGACGAGCGTAAGCAGGACTGGAGCTATTTGATTATGGAACAAAAAGAGCGATTGTGAGGCTAGGGTAAATGTATTATAGTGCTCGCTCACGCCCAAATTGAATTGTTTGTACACGAGGCGACCAGCTGAAAGTGAAACATGTCCCCAAACTCGTCAATTTTCATTTTTCGCGGGTAATCACATCATGAAGCAATGGGTAGCCATCTTGTTGGTCAAACATCTTCCCAGTCGTGACCGGTATCTGGAATACACTCACCTCAGCTCGATTGGAACTTGCAGTGAAAGCGTGCAAATTCGTTCAGCACATCCACAGTGGTTGCCTCCCTTCGAAATAATTACTGGTACTTGAACTCGTGTTTAGCACTCTCAGAACCCTGACTTTATTTTCTATAACTGACAATCGTGTCGTGTTTTTCTTGTTTGGTAACTATCCGGTCTTGTCTCTTGTTTCACATTTGGATTGAACTGGACAGCATCAAACGCTGTAATAGAGAAACATATCCACAACCAACAACTGTTACCTTTGACGTGAACGGCAAATCAATGGTACAACGACACGACGGGGTTTTCGCTGACGTTGTAGAATGAAATTAGTTTATGGACACATTGTAAGCATTGATTTGGAACATATTGCACCTATTCATGTTCATTGATTTTCATGTTTTTTCTAAACAAGCCGTTGTAGGCCTTCTAACTTTGGCCAATCAAGCCTTCTGTTGGTCCTCCGCTGAAAACGCAATATCGTTAACTGGGCACGGATGCTTGCTAATCGTCCACTAGCCTTTGAAATCTTCAAGATTTTGACAGTAATGTATTTTATGTTTCGCATTTTGTTCCAAATACGGCAATATCGAAAATTGGGATTGACAGCATTAAGAATCACTACGCTTAGCGGAAAACGGAATCGATGGACAAAGTGATATTTGTGATTATGGGATTTTGAGCACTATTTTGAAAGAAAACGTGACAGAGATATTTGAGCTTAGAGTGGACTTAATCAGTGAAGTTTAGTTTTACGGCTTTTCTGCAATGTAACACTGATTATTCTGTATGTTATTCAGGACTTCCCATCCACGTCGTTTATGACATGGTTGATAATTTGATCGTGTATAACACTGCAGGCAAACCTCATTATTAGGTTACCGTTTGCCAGAACCATATTTGACACAGAAGCGATATATTGAGATGTGAACATGATGACGAATATGCGTTACTAAGTGCAAACGGACCACTTTGTGGGACATTTTTTCTGTTGCGTTAAAATGGATGGGCGGGAAAGAGAGCGCCACTGGTTGTTGCTATGCTCTACGTGGTTGATGTAAATCGATATGATATTATTTAGTAACTAGATATTGGCACAACTGGATTAAGATTTTATTGATATAACTAGATTAAAATTTGATCTAGTTCTTGTTCAGTGTGGTGGAACTACCACTGACGCCTCTTAATCTAAACCCACTCACTGAATCATTTCATGCTGAACTCGAGTTCGAATAAGGCCCGAACAGTGTGGTTCTCGAGCTGTAACTGATGACCGTAAATAGTTCTGGATCAGATCGAATAAATCAATAAATCAATCAAGGGGTCAGCTTTTGAAGATAGGGTCTCAAGTTGACCAGAGAGGCTGCATAAAAACAAAAACTATGAATGGCTTTCTGGCACATTTTTGCTGCTAAAAGTAAACGGAATTTGTCTTTAATATTTATTGAAAACAAAAAGTGAAGCCATGGAACTTGTTTCCGATAAAGAATATCAACAAACACAATTTGGCGCACATTCAGCTCATCCTTCCACAAAGATGTCAGTTATGAAGGGACATACTTTCTGCTTAACAAAGCATGCTTTATATGAGGCAGGACATTTGAAAATGTATTTTGTGCTGAAAATACAATTGTACTGGAAATACAATTGTACTGACAATACAAATGACTAGCGCACATCATTTTAAAGTGGCCAACCAAAGTCAGAGAAACATTCCACGTTCATAGACATAGTGCCTTAACAACTCGATTCGCCTGTGTTTATTATACGAATCTTTAATTTAAACTTAAAGATGTATTTTTTTGTTTCAGATTTCGACAGGGTGCCTTCTTTACTCATGGTCTCCAAATGTTTCGTGACTCCAGGATTTGTGACGGGGTTTATCGCCCTCATTTTATACATCATCAAAATCATCATTATGATGCGGTCACAGGTCAAAACGTTACATCTCAAGGCCGCGTACTTGACCTTCGCAGCTGTTGGAGGTACGTAATATACTTCGGTTGAAAATATTCCCACGGTAACATAATCAGGTCTTACTCATGTAACTTTGATCTGAACCCAATACTCCAACCTACCGTTAAAATATGAAATTAGAACAAGTATATTTGGGATGAATCATATTCAGGGGATATGTTCCGTTTTATGTCAACACTGAATCATTCAGGGCCTAGATTTTCGAAGCTATCTTAGCGCTAAGGTAGTCGTAAGTGCCATTCATTAACATTAACTTACGACTATCTTAGCGCTAAGAGAGCTTCGACAATCTGGACCTAGGTATAGATGTGATTGTGTGAGTTGGTGAGTGGTGAGTGGTGTTTCATGCTGTGGTGATATAAAGTAGTCTGTGTCACAGTCCCTGTCCGCAATATGTTCCCTTCTGCCTCTGGCGGTGGAGTAGCCTAGTAGTTAAGGCGTTCGCTCGTCACGCCAAAGACCTGGGTTCGATTCCCTACATGGGTACAATGTGTGAAGCCCATTTCTGGTGTCCTCCACCGTGATGTTGCTGGAATATTGCTGAAAGCGGCGAAAACCATACTCACTCACTCCCTTCCCTTTCTACAATATTCCAGCACAATCACGGCATGACGAGCGAACGATTTCACCACAATCATACCCCACCATCCCGCAATGCTAAAGACCAAAATGTAGCAAGTCTAGATTTCCAGGTTCTGAATCCCCCTCCTCAACGGGTCTCCATTTCAATTTAAAAGGAATTATTTGTTTCTATCAAGATTTTATACATTCAGAGACTAAGCGTCAATCTTTAAGCTGCAACACGACGATCTGTAAGTAATTCCCCGAGAAGTTCCGGGTTAGAGTTGCTCGTAGGGTAAACCTGGCTTGTCGTAAGAAGCGGCTAACAAGACCAAACATTATTGCAAATAAACATTTTGAAATTGTGTTTAAATAGTGTGGAGAGAGAAGAGAGAGAGAGACAGAAGGAGGGAGAGAGGGGCTACACGTAGTTCTGGGTGACTCTCATGTATTTCCCTTTCAATCTAAGTACTCAGTTCCCCCCGAGATCTGGGCGATCGCCACTGCGACTATCAGAGTGGTCTGGAGAGACATCGATCTTACCGCAGCGTTCCTCTTCTAAAGACATTCATTGGCATCTTTTAACATCAATCTTTTACACAACGCTTTTAAGAAAAATCGTTTTGAAATCGAGGAGTGCGGGTCGTCTTAAACCCTGCAAATAGCTGTAGACAGTTTCTTCTGGACGTATCATAAAGCTATGATCGGGAGTTCGAATCCCAGTTCTCAGAGATTTCGACCCTAGGCCTGTCAGTTGCTAATGGGTTTACCATAGGATATACGTGTAAGATCGAGTGAGTGCGTGAGTTAGGATTTTTAGTCACATTGGCAGTATTTCAGCCATATCGTGACTTTAACAAGTTACAAAGTAATATCAAATAAAGCTTCATTATAAAATCTGTCAGTAATAGTTAGTAGAACAACTAGAATATCACATATAGAATCCAAACTAGCAAGCATAAAACATTAAAAGTGAGTGAGTTAGTGAGTGAGTTTAGTTTTAGGGTGAGTGAGTTTAGTTTAAGCCGCACTCAGCAATATTCCAGCGGCAGTCTTTAAATAATCGGGTCTGGACCAGACAATCCTGGGATCATCAGCATGAACATCGATCTACGTAACTGGGTAATGATGACATGTGTCAAACAATACAGTAAGCCTGACCACCCGATCCCGTTAGTCGCCTCTAACGACAAGGATGGGTTACTGAATATCAATTGTAACCCGGATCTTCACGGGTAACGTTAACATTAGAACACAATACATTAGGACAATACAAATAAAATACATTATCTATTCGGGCTTTTGCACAAACATCATGATGTAACGGAAGGGCGGTGGGGTAGCCTGGTGGATTAAGCATTCGCTCGTCACGCCGAAGGCCCGAGTTCGATTCCCCAATTGGGCACAATGTGTGAGGCCCATTTCTAGTGTCCCCAGCTCTGATATTGCTGGGATATTGCTGGAATCGGCGTAAAACTATACTCAATCACTTACCGATATAGCTGGAATAGGGGCGGTGGGGTAGCCTAGTGGTTAAAGCGTTGGCTCGTCACACCGAAGACCCGGGTTCGAATCCCCACATAGGTACAATGTGTGAAGCCCATTTCTGGTGTCCCCCGCCGTGATGTTGCTGGAATATTGCTAAAAGCGGCGTAAAACTAAACTCAGTCAGTCAGTATACGTGGAATAGTTCAACAAAATTGCGAAATAAGACTCACTCGTTAACCATTGTCATCTTGCATTTCAGGAGCTGCCGCCGGAGTGGGAGTGATAATATTCTGTGCCATGCTTGATAAGGAGGTGTACAAGCTGGAGTGGGGCCCCGCGCTGCCGGGAGTTGGCGGAATCCTGCAGCTGGGCGTGGCGTTCGGAGGATACCTCAGCTGGAGAGATAAATATGGCGACGATTTTGATGACATAAGCCTGTCATCCGATCGCCCTACTGACAAACCTACCAAACGGAAAAGGGATTACATTGATTGGGAGACGTCCAACAATTCCGAAATATACCCCGCGTCTACCCCGTTACCCGTGACGTCAAACGTATGACGTCAGGGATCACGTGACGTGTAATACGTCATTACATATGTGATAATTCACTGGACTACAGAGGTCGTAGCTGGAAAGAGGATACGATGGAGTGTATCTGATATTGGTGCTGAAGATGAGCCCCGCATCAAATGCATTAACGGGACTATATTTAGACGCCAAAAATGTGAATTACGGACGTATTCTTCCGTTAATAACCGGAAGTTGGATTTATGTGTATATTGCTGCCAATTCAAAAGCGAGGATGACAGTACAATCAAAGGGACCAAAGACGTCACAAGATCAGGAACTGGCAATTCTGCGACCTCTACCAATCGGTGCCTCCCGTAACCCGGGCAAATACAACAGCTCATCCATAGTTTCTAGTGGCCTGCGATCGCATGCGATCCCGAATTTTGACTAGAACGGTGCACCATACATGTCTTCCACTGCCCCAAACGTACGAGTGCGTGCGTGCAATGTCTTCCTGCTTAAGAAGACATTGACAGGAAATTGGTGGCAAGGTTGAACTCTGACGTACGCAGAGATCAGATGGTGGATATTTTTCAAGAATATGTGTACATTGATATATCTGGTGTTTGACAAGAACGTGGATTTTGTATCTGTTAAAGCTAATTGGATGTTTTTGGTTCACATTTTGCCTTATATGGAAGCAGTTTTTTGTCGTAGCCTTGTAAGAGAAGTCTACCGTCCCGTGTCCATCCGGGTCCCCTGACTCCTGGCCCAGAGTACCCGGACGCCCTGTGTCTGTTTGAGATGCTGCTAGTCGGCCAACTTGTAATAGCTTTAGACCAAACTTTATATTGATATGTCTCCGCTTAGTCTGGCAGTAATCATCTTGGTTAATAACCTTTTGGAGTACACATCCTGGCTTATCCAGGCTTATACTTATTGCGGGAATGAAACTGGAGGAATGCGTTATAAGGAAGATCACCAACAGAATAAGTTTCCAGTATTCGACACTGATACAGCAATTGTTATCAAGCCTACAGTAAAAACGGCAAGGGCAGTTAAAGCGATGTATCAAATACCTTTAACAGTTTTTTCCTCAATCTCTGGTTCTTAAAAACAGATAATTCATCCCTTAATTTTTTTAATTATCCAATTTATTTTCCAATTTAAGTCTTAAATTGCCGCGTGAGCTGGAAGGGCAGTGTTTTGTGTCAGAAGTGTGTGAGAGAGTACCATGATTCGAAAGCAATTCACGTTTCAACTGTCAACCCCTCTGCTATTAGGAGAGTAATCGAAGAAAATCGACATTCTCCTTGCTGAGCAAAAGTAAATATTCTTGCTGCGTTTTGACTATCTTGACGTTAAGCTTCTGTTAACAACTAAATCTCTGCACAAATACAATACAGCTCATGAGGGAGAATCGCAGTCTGATCAGATCGAAGAAAAGACATTTGGATCGGTATCCTCTGTCAATACATACCAAAAGGTCATTCGAGTCTTATGAGTTGAATAATTTGTAAAACGAACACGGCAGCCTAAACTCCAAACAGTGATACATCGCTGTCTGTCCTATCTTTCATGTGTATACTATACGTAGCACGTGCTGAACTGGAGCTTGAACAAAACCTACAAAGGTCAAGGCTGCAAGGCAGATAACTCTGAAGTCAACAGAATGGATACCACTGTCTGTTAATATCGATACGTGTAATCCCAGGTTACCTAGTCATTAACAATTCATTGTTGATTTATGTATCTGCCACCCAGCTATTCTTGCCATTGAGTTAACTGCTGAACCGTAGGTAACACCGTGTCAGACAAAGCTCAGGCATATGGTTGCAAGTTTGGTAGAAGTCACGTGATAGAAAGAACCCCATTATAACACCGAAATTATACGTAGATCTAGTCCTCGTTTTTACGTTTTCATTAGTACTGGTCACCTGATATATCAACTCATTTATACAATTTTTTGGTCCTCGATATGTCTCATTTTCAGTGTATACAATTATACACCATCATTTGTTAACAATCATTTTTATCACAGTCATCATTAATATACCAGTTTCTCCAAGTATAAATAAAGTCTTTTGTTTCTCACATTTACAAAAGGGGTCAATCTCCCCATAAATATGTTCCCACAGAGGTACAATGTGAGAAGTCGTTTCTCAAACACTCTCTGCAACTGTGGCTACACCTCCAGGCGATATATTTGAAAGTCTTGCTATCAGGTCTATCTTATGGCAAATCTTGTCTCTCCGTACTTAACTAACATCGTATTTCAAACCATGAAAGCGAGAAACAAAAGATTTTGATTATGATACACTAAAAAGATCAACCTACTCCTACGTAGTCTGTACGTGCCGTCAGTGACGAACTTTACCATTTGTAATATCATACTATCGTGTAAGTCACTGAACGTTCATTTAGCCATTACCAAGTAATGAATTCTGGCATTATTCTCATAATCTTCATATTACCGACTGTTTTCAGTATTTCCAGACTCGACAGACTTTAGAAAGGCGACACCACGCAGTCAGTATACCAATGTTACCCTTGTGTAATCTTATATATTGTTATGTCGTTATTGATTTCAGATTTACGTTGTTATGACAATCACAGTGAAATCATTTCTGTACCGACGTACTGTACGAATCTCCAAGGGTTGCCTGTTATCATTCCCATGCCATTTGTTTCCGCTGTTCATGGTAATAAGTCTCCAGCACGCGATACCATCAATGATACGACGAGAAGAATATAATCCGTTTTGATTGCATCCCTGGCAGACTAAAAGATGCAGATTGCGTCAAAGCGCCTGCTTAAATTTCATGGCGTTGAGTTTTGAAAACAATCGTTCCGGGTATTACGACAAACACTGTCAGAGTTCGCGGAGTAGAGCGTCACGAAGTTCCGATTGATTGTGGTCTCACGAAAACGACCGAGCCTGCTGGTTACAAACGGGAGCGAGAGTTTAACAATTCCATGTTAATTATTCAATAGTGATTCGATATAACGGGACGTTCATACGTTCTGTTATTACTAGTGGATTAACCCTTTCGTTTAAGACACCTCAATTAGCTCTACAGAGTAACGTCCCTTTGGGTAAGCCGGATACCTACTGATAGGTGTCCCGATTGTGTTTCTAGGTTTTTCGGTACGATACTCGACTTCGTGGTATTCATATACCCGAGCTTGTGGAATTCATCAACGAGATAAATCTGAGACTTGACCCACCAAGGATTATACTCCTAGATCAAGCTGGCACGCCTAGTTAGGAGTGGAATGCTGGTCAAACCGATGTAAAACCCAAATATGGTCTCTCAGCCAATCTGTTCTTGATTATAAAGGAAGTCAGTATATTTGAAAAATACCCCAGTTTGACAATCGATGAATGGCCATGTATGGTTACTTTTCACCACGCATATACTCATTCAATAACAACAATTACAATGATATCATTTGCTATAGCTGGAAAGGTCCATTCCGAGTTATCCCTTTTGTTAGCGATTAAACCCGTCAGACTTTATAAAGAATAATATAATATTGTATGTGTATGTTAAGAAAGGGGTAAGAAAGACGTCTTATTAATTAATTGTTATATTTGAGTTTGTATATAGGAAATATGAGCCTGTAATCATATCCGCCAATACGAACACGTACATGAGCATACAAAGGCACATGTTTAACGCCTTTTTCAAATATTTTACGTGCGCTTCAGTATAATCATGGTCACGACTTGGCCTTACTAACCGCTCTATAGACATTGATTAGCATACGGTGATGTCAATAAAACGCTCATGGAGTGTAGGAGCTGTATACTTAGAGTGGATGCTAACAATATTTAGCTGTATGACATTTCATATAGGAATTGAGGTAATATAGGAATCTGATTGGCTGAAATATCACCCGAGAAGATGTTTATTGTGGTTCTGTACAAACTTGACACTCGGGGGAAAATAAGTATGATGGGAACCTACTAGTATTTGGAAAGCAAAACCTTTATTGTTTTCGTAATATAGCCTTCCTGCGCTCCTTTGTCGTTTTTGACATCCCGATATTAACTTTCCTAGCCGAACTTTATGAAGTACTTGTGAGATTACACATTCCATATATGAACTTTTCATTTGTTGCCTGTATGCATATTTCAATATTCATTAATTCTTGTTTGTAGCTTTGATGCTTAAAAATCGTTCTTCATGACCGCCTTTTTATTTGAATAAGATGTAAGCGACATGCCGACGATACTGCGCATGTCTTTGGGTTTGTCAAAAATGGAATGTGAGATATCTGAAACGAAACCTATGCATCCATGCTGCTGATGCGAGCGGCATCTCAGGTGATGAGATAGTTATAAAGAATTCAGGCAACCTTTACAACCACCTTGCAGGTGTTAAACACCACCCAAGACTAACTTGGAAATAGTTAGTTTCCGTTAAATTAGGACGCAGTTTAGTTTAACAACGATCATTTAGATTTTGCTAAGTAAAAAGAGAAAACTCAAACAATTATTCTCATAAGTAATATATCCTAACCCTCTAACGTTATTTCTGTGATCAAAGCTAGGTTTATTTATAGAGGTCAATGATATAATCAAAGACATTGTATAAGAATGTGTTAATATCACGCCTGCATTGTCGTCATTGTCATTATCATCATGAATACAATGACGTCGTCATCATTATCATCATGAATACAATGACGTCATCCTCATGATGTTGTACAATACCAAATGATTTTTTTGTTTACATAGCATTGTTTTGTTACAAATTGTTTACATCTCCAAGGGACCAAATGTCCGTTGTTTATTTGTAAATATTGGTTGTTATAAACTGTATAAACAACAGGACTGGGTATTTTGATAATCAATTTTCTTTATTATGAATTAAATGAAATATAATACCAGCGCTTTGTGTATACACTGGACAAAGAGAAATGTCAAGACAGTGAATAGGACACTTTGAGGATTGCATTCACTCACTCACTCACTCACCCATCTATATTACGGGTGGGCGAATGTTTGTCATTTTGGGGATATTCCCTTTGAATACACGTGTCATTTTTATGGATCGATCCTTTTATTTGGGAGGGGGGAGGGATGATTAGGGTGTCAAGACAATCGAACTGTCGGTGTTTCTCTTGTTTTACTTAACAGGCGTCCTTGTTTTCAAATTTTCATTTTTTGTTTTCATAATAACCGATTGCCTATATTTCTATGGGAATCCGAGCTCAATAATGTTTGAAAATGCCTAAACCGAGTATAAAATGGTCGATCCTTAGGTGTGATCCTTAGGTGTGTTTTGACTTCTGCGGAAATCAGTTGCTCCACAGACAGTGAAAACGAAAATTGTGATTCACAAATATGTAAAAAAGAACCACCCTCCTAACAGTTATAATCGAAAGGACAAATACATCTTAAGTAACAGAAAGTAACAATTTACAAAATAGCCATACGTTGATGACATCTGTAGTTACAGAACCAATGATAAATAAATGAGACATGCTTGTCCAGGGTGACACCTTTCTCAGACTAACCCCTGAGACGAATAATGAAACGGACCGCATGTCAGTCCCTTTGTCACAGTGTATGGTATCGCGATGTACGTTACGAGATTTTGTTTCGCCGATCGTAAGCGTCATTAAGAGAATGTTACGGTATTTTTATCTGATTTTTGTACATTATTTTTTCTGTTCCTGTAACTAATTTCCAGACTGCGCAAATAAAGCTGTATGACCTATTGACCCTGTGTTTTGTCTTTCGTGGAAGAAGCAAGATAAGACTAAGTGTACCCAACAACGATGATGGCTGGAATTAATGTGCAGACATAGATGATGTCAATGATGTAATGACTGTTACAGAAAATTCGTTTTTCCACAAAATAAGAAAAGAAGTCCAAATGGAGCCAAGAATAATCCACATGAATCCAAGAACAATCCAAATATAATAAAATGAATATAAGAACAATCCAAAATGGAGCCAAATACCATTTTGTATCCTCAAACAATGCTGGATATGAACAGAACCTGCAGTTGACGCGGTCTAGGCTTAGAATAGAGTTAGACCTTTTTCAGTTTATTCTCTATAGTCCGAGTTGGAATTGATCTTCAGTAACATATGTTATATCTGGGATTACACTTTCTCAGTAAAGTACAGATTCTAGTACTTTTTGGGGGTTGACTTCCATCCGGCATTCGAACCCACACCCTCAGAGTCAGGCACCTAATCGCCAGCACACAAAGTCAGACGCCTAGACCCCTCAGCGGCTTCCACAATAATGGAAGTCGGACAGCTGGTAGTCTAGACTGCGGACTGTACCCCTCTGATCTAAACTCACTCACTCACTGATCTTCAGTGACCCATCTTTGTCGTAAGAGGCGACTAACGTGTTCGGGTGGTCAGGCTCGCTGACATGACTGACTCTCTTTGGTCTGGGATATGAACAATTGCTGCTTCTGCAGAGATCGATGATGGTTGGACACTAACATCTTCCACTGCTCTTCATGACGTCAATGATTCAGTTATGCCATCGACGGTAGCGACTAATAATGACGTCGTCGATAGGGATAACAATGGTTACGTCAACTATTTAGAGAAGCGCCGACAATTTGTCACATTCTAATGAATGATGTAAACCTCGAAGCTTTGAGGAGACCACATAACACGGTCAGGAAGATGGTGCTTAAGAGCTAGGAGTTCGTTTCGCACAAGATAGCAATCACACGTACGATCAATGTGCAATAAAACATACAGAAACGAAACATAAGTATCCCCATTCAGAAACTAAAGGATGCAAAATCGTGCTTCATACAGAATTCAGTAAATATAACTTTATTGTAGGATTAGCGTATCTATTTACAAATATTCATGAAGACATGTTGTCATTTTCGATTTAAATAGAGTACCTGCCAAGACGGCATCGATCGACACAATGTCCTGTCCTATGTGCAAATAGAGGAACGTAATGTCAATTAGCTCCAGGATATTTCCTCGCCCTAAAGTGTACGTTACCCCCTTTTGGGGTTACAGACCGCCGTTATAAAGCTGGAAAATTGCTGAGTGCGGCGTTAAACAACACACCAGACAACCCGTTCTTGAGGCAGCTTAACACTGCTGTAGTCCTACCGCTGACTGATTTTAAGACCTCTATCATAAAACATGTCCGAATCAGATGGGTCGACTACTACGACAGGACCAGAACCAGTCGGTACCGTTCGCTCAGTAGGCCAAAAGTTTAGTCAGCATTTGGAATATGCCCCCCCAGGTTGTTTTCAATCATCTTGTGTGTTCAGTGCGCCGCCGATGTCTCATCTGTATGAACCCATGTGGCGGTGATGCCTGATATTGACGTTATTGGTCGCGATGTTACACCCTTCCTTTATGGTGTGTCGCTCTGTCTCATTTTACGAAGTATGAGTTTTGTCAATTGATTTTTTTATACACCGCCCTTCCTCTTGGGCGTGTCGCCCTGTCTCGTGTTACCAACTATGGGTATTGTCAGCGGGTTTGCAATAAAACATTGACCAGAAGATGGACAAAATATTATGCTGTTATTTTCAAATACATCATTTACAACACTTTACAGTTTCACGTTGGTATACAGTGATTAAGTACAGGTTAGACTACGGGGATTCCAGGTTTAATAAGGATTATTATGTTTAGGTTAGACCACCAGGATCCGATATTCTGCAATGAATATGTTTAGATTAGACCACTAGGACTCGATGTTTGACAAGGATTATGTTTAGGTTAGACCACCAGGATCCGATATTCTGCAATGAATATGTTTAGATAAGACCACTAGGACTCGATGTTCGACAAGGATTATGTTTAGGTTAGACCACCAGGATCCGATATTCTGCAATGAATATGTTTAGATAAGACCACTAGGACTCGGTGTTTGACAAGGATTATGTTTAGGTTTTACCATAAGAATCCTATGCTCCGTCGCTTTTGTTTGCCTTCTAACTTGTGCAGTTTTACACAAAATGCCAGACAGAATAAGCATTCACACCGGCAATGTTGTTATTCTTCAAACGTATTCATTTTAAACTCTTCAGTTTTAATTTGGTTTCATCCTGGTTGGAACTGATCTTTAGCAACCCATGCTTGTCGTAAGAGGCGACTATCGGTATCGGGTGGTCAGGCTTGCTGACCTTTAGCAACCCATGCTTGTCGTAAGAGGCGACTATCGGTATCGGGTGGTCAGGCTTGCTGATCTTTAGTAACCCATGCTTGTCGTAAGAGGCGACTATCGGTATCGGGTGGTCAGACAGATGATCATAGATGATGCTTTACTTGCGCAGAGATGATACCTTAAGCTACGTGGGAGATATTTTCATCTACATAGAGGGTTTTTCAATTTATGATATTATAAACGCCTAAGGAACTCTGGCTTAATTAATAATGACCCATTCGTTTGACTTTCAACCTGGAGGTGTCTTTCTATAGCTGGAGGTACTATCAGGAAATTCAATAAAGAAACTCTTCATTTCAATATGTCAAAGTTTGTTTTTAATAAATGTATTTGATGGTTGCAGTTTAACGCGACTGCTATAAACTGATATCAGTTTGGAAAATAACATACCGAGGAGGGTGAATGAAAATAAACGATCACGTGCGGCCAAAACATAAATCGTATCAGCTTCTTTCTCTATGTTTGAATAAGCTCAATCCAATGTTTGTTTAAACTACGTTCAACAAGTGACTTCACAATACAACACAATGGTCTCAGTAATGATACTCACAATTAAAGACCCGTGAAGGTCCGGGTTAGAATGAACCTTCAGTAACCCATGCTTGTCGTAAGAGGCGACTATCGGTATCGGGTGGTCAGGCTTGCTGACTTCAACCAAGTCAGCATGTCATCGTATTCCAATTACTTAGATCGATGCTGATGCTTTTGCTCACTGGATTGTTTGGTCCAGTCCCGATTATTTACAGACCGCCGCCATAAAGCTGGAATGTTGCTGAGTGTGGCGTAAAACTAAACTCACTGACTAATTTGGTTTCATTTGTTAGCCACTGAAGCAGTTCTGTTCTTGGGAAGTATGTGTCTCGTGGGCTTGTATTGAATTTACATGTATCAATAACTGAGTGTTTACTACATTCCGTCGCCTTTGTTTTCCCTCATGGGTAAGATAGCTGAGCTGAAAGTCGTATCAGGTTTTATACAGGCACCGATAAGTCTCTTTGTGTGTGCAGGAGATTCAGCCAGCCCTCTTCCGTGTTTGTTCAGCATACGGAGCACGTTCTTCAGTCCCTGACATTTACACAGAGAATAGGAGGAGTCGACCGATGCCATTGAATATCCGATAGTTTCGTATGTTTTGCAAAACACTACTATGCTTAACTACTACCAACTTGAGTAAACGCCATTATTATACGTATATATCACTAACAAACCCGTGAAGATCTGGGTTAGAATTGGTCTTCAGCAACCGCTGCTTGTCGTTAGAGGCGACTAACGGTTCGATGACTTGGTTGACACATGTCATCGTATTCCAAATGCTAATAGTGGTGTTTGCACGGAATGCAGCGTTTCGAACAACGAAAAAACCAACGATATTTGCCTTAGTCCATGTTAGTTCTTTGTATAAATTAGTCAATCACGCCTCTATTTGCGCATGGGCAGTGGAATGATACGTTCATGACTATAAGTCTTTGCTTTAGGCATTTTCGAATCGATGCACAGTCATTGCCAGAGATCTCTAAACTGTTCAAGTTGTAATGAAACCTATCTTGGTACATTTTACCATTATATTTCCAATGTAATGCCCATTTTACTTCCAGCAATCAATCTGTATGATACGCCGCTCCAGGGCATCATTTGAGAAATGCACATTTTGTAAAGTGATAAAACCTGTCCATTTTACAATGTCGGTCCTTATATCTAGCCGGGCCAGTTCAAATGGAAATCCTTGATGCTGATCATTGGACTGTCGGGTCCAGATTCAATAATTTACAGACCCCCTTTATATAGCTGGTATATTGCTGAACGCGGCATAAAACAACAACCATGACGAAGGTGACAAGCAAAATTATCTGCAGATCTCGCCCAAGTGTTATTATGAACTTATTTCCTTTACAACGCAGGAAATTCAAGTATTCAATTTTCTCAGCTAAAACAACTGAACACATTGTGATTTTTCTCGAGTCAAGGTCGGATCATGTGCATGTTAGAAAGAGTCCGCTTCCAAATTAAGCCCTAAGCTCGGATGGAATATTTAGAATGGCAAGGAGTAATTTGACTCAATAACGACATTCTACTATAACTTCTGTTATAAGGTGAGGTGAAATTGGGGTTTAGGTCGTACTTGAGAATATTTCGCTCATATGACGACGTGCATGCGTGTGTATGTGTATGTGCAGCTGCTTGTACTAGCCCAGACTTAAGCTGGTTTTATAGTGGTAGCCCACTGAGATACCATGCCTCAGTGAAGCATGAATACCCAACTCAGACACATCATACTGACTCCGAGCCGACCAGTCCTTGTTGTACCCATTAATGCCGAGCGTCAGGCAGGGACCAACAAGTACCATATTTTAAGGTCTTTTGGTATGACGCGGTCGGAAATCGAACCCGCGACCTTCCGCTCTCCGGGCGGACGCTCTAGCCACTACACCACGGAGGCGGTCTCTGTTATAAGACAGAATCGGGTGTTAGTGAACTTTTTCTGAATGGCACATAGAGCAAATTCCCTAAATTAGGCATATATTAAAACAGACTTGGTTGGTTGGTTGG